TATTCTTCTTCATCCTCCCCACAGTCCTCCGTGGAATCAGCACCAACCTCGTAATAGTCTTTCTCAAGGGTAGCCATGTCGCGCGGCTCTGAGAACTCGCCTTCCTCCATCCCTTCACCCAAGTACCAGTGCACGAAAGCTCTCTTCCCATACATCAGGTGGTCCATGCCTCTGCAATGGCGGTGGTGTTGCTCAGCATATTGACAGCCCTCTGCACCTTGGCCAGATCCCCTCCCAGAACGACGGTGGGTGGCTAGTAGTTGATGCCGACTTTAAACCTGGTAGGACACCAGTCTACGAACTGGATGGAGCGCTGTGTCTTGATTTTGGCTATGGCGGCCTTGACATCTTTGGGAACCACGTCACCACGGTACAGCAAACACCAGGCCATGTTTTTTTCACTACGAGGGTCGCACTTCACCATCTTGTTTGCTGGCTCGAAGCAGACATTGGTGATCTCTGGTACAGAGAGTTGCTCGTGGTTGGCCTTCTCAGCCGAAATTATGGGAGAGTGGGTGACCAGTGGTAAGTGGATGCGAGAGTACAGAACCAGGTTAGTCTGGAACTCCGTGAGGTCCATATTTAAGGCCCCATCAAAATGCAGTGATGCCTGGAGGACACAATCTGAGTGATGAGCCTGTTCAGATTGGTGTAGGAAGGCCACTCGATGTCGAGGTTTCACTTACAGATGTCAAAGATGGCTTCATTATCGACCATGAAAGAGAAGTCAGAGTGCTCGAGAGTGGTGGTGTGGGTCGTAAGGATGGAGTTGTAGGGCTCAACCACAGCAGTGCTGACTTGCGGGGCAGGATACACCGGAAACTCCAACTTTGACTTTTTACCATAATCGACAGACAGTCGCTCCATCAGCAGAGACGTGAATCCAGAAACCGTTTCACCACCAAAACTGTAGAAGATCAGGAACCCCTGCAGACCAGTACACTGGTCCGCCTAGAGAAGAATCAGAGGAAAGAGGGAAGTTCAAATACGGCCAGAAATTTAAAGGGCTTTAGAGGTTCACTAAAGTTACCATTTTGCACATCCGGTCGAGCACAGAGTCTACAATCTCTTTGCCAATGCTATAGTGACCACATGCATAATTATTGGCTGCGTCCTTCTTTGCTACTGATGAGCTGGTACAAGGGTGGTACAATTGTTGATGGTGTCCCTTACAGATCTCATCTGCATTTCAAATAAAACATAAGGACATTAAGAAACTGTACACCGGAATTACAAGGACAAGAGTCTTGAATATGCATAAAATAAAAATTCTGAAGGGAGTTCAGTCTTACCAACAACGCTTGGCTCCAGATCAATGAAGACTTATGAATGAAGAATTTATTTCTAAATTAAACCAAATCACTTCCACAACTACACCAAGCGAACCTCCTGATCTTGATTTATATTGATCTCAAATCAGAAGGGTGTGGCTCTTATGGCTCGTTTCCACTGAGTGGTACGGTACGGTACATAATGTTTTGCTGTTTCCATTGTCAGAAGTTGTGAATGTTACCCTAATTCCGAACAGTACCGTACCCCTTTTTTGGGATCCTTCCGTTGGGGTACCTAGCACAGTAGTCCGGTACTAAAGGATGGAGCTAGACTTACTGCAGAACATTGATTGGTTGACAGAGAATCGTCACGTGCTTCGTGCTACATGGGGAATGACAACACAAAAAGTGCCATTTTTTAATATACAGTTGAAACACAATACCATTTCTTCTTGTGACAAAAACAAAAAAACTTATTTAAAAGACTGTTGTGTTGAATGCACTAAATCAGTACAAATAGTTGTACTTAAAGCTGCAGTAGGTAACTTTTGTAAACAAATATTTTTTTTACATATTTGTTAAAACTGTCATTATGTCCTGACAGTAGAATATGAGACAGGTAATCTGAGAAAAAAAATCAAGCTCCTCTGGCTTCTCCCAGTGGTCCTATTGCCATTTCCTATTGCCGTCGCCCGTTGGTGTATGAATGAGTGAGTGAATGGGTGAATGTGAGGCAAATTGTAAAGCGCTTTGGTGGCCATTGGGTCTGTGAAAGCGCTATATAAATGCAGTCCATTTACCATTTACCATTTGCAGAAATACACCGCTCCCGGTCAGAAACAACCAATCAGAGCCAGGAGGAATGTCTTAGCAGTGTCAATCACGCTCGTGTACGCGCTGATCACACCCCTCTCTTACCGTCGTTCAAACCAAACTCAAGATTGCCGGTGTGCTGCAGCTGTGCTAATGGCGGAGAAACAACCTAAACTGACAATTTCTCGAGTGGCACCTGCTCATAAAACAAAGACGGGTAAAAGGAAAAAAAACGATGACGATAAACAAGCGAAAAAGAAAGAATTAGACAGAGCCCATTGACTCGGTGTCAAAACTCTAGCCGCGTAACATGTAGATAAAATGTCACGCACTGTGCAAAGCAACAATTTAAACCTGCTAATTCACTGGCTTGTCATGTTGCTGAAATAATATTGTGGCGAGCAGGACGAGGCCGAGGGACATGAGAGCGGCGCGAGGCCGGTGGCGTGAGTGATAATGAACGACACCTGTGAGACGCACCGGTCTCGTATCTCTCACGGAGGAGCGGTAGCATAAAGGAGGAGCGACGACAGTGGAGAGAAGAACAGGCCTGATTTTACGTTGTGATTTGATGTTCTGTTTTGTGTATTGTCCGTGAGGGGCTGCTGGCTTATACTTTCATTTTGTATTTGTTTATTTATTATTAAACTTGTTGAACGTTCGCCGGTTCCCGCCTCCTCCACATAACAACTGAACCCCGTTACAAATGTACTAGCAAACCTTATCTAGCATTAGGCCTACATATCGCTAGTATAATTCCTTGAATTATATTATATATATGTTACGTTAGTTACCGTTATATTATCTTAATAGCTATTTATAACTTATAGAAAGGGTGCAACGTTATAAAGTTACATTACATGTATTGCAAAATACGTAATGATTTGAGGACCAAGTTTGTAGTCAAAGTATGGGCAGGCCTTAGTCATTGTAAAGCATATTTTTTTATGTTTCGTCCCTACTAGTGAATGTGCCATAACTGGTTATCCGCCGTCATCGGTGGCCCTGCTTACTAGCCTGCGCGTTCACGGCAGGCTCCGCTGTGGAGGGAGGGCTGTAGGGACCTGTAAGTTGTGCTTGTTCAAATTTTCAGGCTAAGTCAACGTTTTCTCAAAACTCCCTACTTCAGCTTTAAAGCAACACCAAGCAACTTTTCCTCTGCGGTCACCCTACAGGTTGGAAGCGGAATTGTCCATTACTGCTGTAGTAAATAATTTAGCCTACCGCATCCTACTGTCGCACGCGCACGCACATGCTCTGTTTATCCAGCACCGGCTTTGGAATCAACAATGGCCACAGACAAGGTAGAGTATGATGCATGATTTTATGAAAGTATGATGTAACGCTTGCCGTAAAGCAAGTCAAATTTGTAGTTTTCTTATGTCTCATTCGGACTACAGAAACGCGACCCGATCTGGCAATCTTACATAGCGTGGATATATCAGATAAAGGACCGCAAAGCGGTGGCATAAGTGCATTTCACCATGTCACGACTTGATGAACCACTGAAACGATTTTGAAAACATTATTTTAAGGTAAAAATTCTTACTTAGTGTTGCTTTAAAAGTAATTTTGGTACTGGTGGTGTAGGTCAAGTAATACTGAATGAATTTGACAATTTTTGTCTTATTGCTCACCTCCTGGCATATTAATAGTAAGGAAGCTTCCCCTACAGCTTCAACTCACTGTGGTCAGCTCACGATTTTCAACAGTTTTTCAACTGAAAAAATGTAATTGATTATCAATCACTCGATGTTTGTTCTCTAAATAAATTAATGGCAACAGTTCTATGATACCTAAATCAAACTACGGTACTAAAGAGATGTTTTCTTTTGAATCCCAATGTGCAACAATGTGATATGCCAAGGGCAGTAACACAGTGCACAATTAAATGTGATCCATTTGTATTTGTGTTTTGGTTTTCGTTGACTCAACACTGTCAAGTGCTCCTCTGAGTTGTATGGTACAATAATACATATGAGCACAAATTATGTTTTGTAATACTTAAATTAATTACTAACATGCAATGACTTCAACTTTTTGTATTGAAATGAAATGTATTGATTGAACAGAAGATAATATTATGTGAAATTGGGTACCAGTACAAATGTCACTTCTAAAGAAGTATCAAAAGTTAACCTTGTTTCCCTTTAAAAATCAAGGATCATTATGAGAAGTTACACAAACACATCCATGTGTTATGATCACTATGGAATTGTCTCTGTTGATTCCGTTGAATGTGATGTTTCTGTAGTGGCTCTTTATTCTTATTCAGCTGATCCAGAGAAGGTCATACAACATCTAAAATCTGTAAAACAGACAAATCAAATGCTTGAGAGAATTGTCCACTATAGAAGAACTTCAAAATACTCTATTAGCAAGAGATAATAGTATAAACCTGTGATGCATGGTGCCAGCAGTGCCCTTTTTAACCATTTAGGAACCTTTTTACTTTGTAACCTTAGACCCTTATCTATAATTAAGTATGACTGTACATAATTTTAGGTGAAACACTTGGGAATGGCTATTCTCTTATTCTAACAAACAAACAAACAAACAAACAAAAAACATTAGAATACATGTTTAATTTGTTGAAAAAAGGCAAATAAAAGCCTAAATGAAATCTGTCATCACATAAAGTGATCATGTTTCTTAAGAAGACTTGGATTAAACTGCTTGATTCATATTGATTACTTTTGTGATTTATAATTTTTTGAAGGGTCAAAGTTTTGGTGGAATGGACTTTCAATGCAGAGAGAGATTTCTCTCAGGTTTCATTAAAAATATATTTTTTTGTATTTCGAAAATAAACAAGCTGGTTTGGAATGGACATGATCATGGGTGAGTATCCCTTAAACTATGACAATGTCAAACAATTCTGCTTAATGGAATATGAACATTTTTAATAATCACTACTCACAGAAGTGTCTTCAGTTTATAATGCGGATCATCCTTCAGAGCAAAAAGCAGATTTACTTCTGACATTGCAAGAAAATTTCCAGTCAAATCCAGTTTTGTTAGGTGTGAGGGGTTTGATCTCAGAGCTGAAGCCAGAGCAGCACAACCTTTATGTGTGACACTACAATCCATCAACCTGTAGAAACCAATGACACAGCTCAGATAAGCAGAAACTTCACTATCAAAAAGAGACCTAATCCATGTCATGATTACTAGGCCCAGATAATGTGCAGACCTGGGGTCCATTCTTTGTACCTCGATTAATACATCTGAGATGATTTGACAGATGCCAGATCTTTTAATCGTGATAACTGATTTCGTTATTGAAACAGATTTGTATTTGCAGATTTTATTAAAATATCTGTCTTAAATTGTCGGAGATTACTGCACGTTCTTGAGTTCATTGGAAAGGGCAGATATATCGAAACTCAAAACCATGATCAGCAATGCAGACCTTTATAAGGAAACAGCCAAACGACCAAAGTGACATAAAAGTTATAACAGATAAATTAAATGTGTACTGTGTGTTACATGATTCCCAATTATTCCCATTATTTTACGATTACTTGTATTTGTACAGGCTTTACATTTTTGACGTGACAGCATTAATTAAAGTTTCTTAGGGGTCAAGAACTTTTTTCTAATGGCACAGCAGACAGCATGTTTTTACCAAGTTATCTGCATCTCCTGCACTGCATCAAGCCACTCCCATTTTTACTCTCAACTCTTGCAATTTTTTATCTCAGCCAGGGCCATGTAACTATAAAATTATGCAATCTTTGTTAAGAGGCTTTCATTCTGTTGGAAAGGCTTCAAAATGTAAATTTTTACTACGGTATTTTTTACCAGATGGTGCCATTTTTTTCTGGTTTGGCCTATAAACCAAATACTCGCTTTATTCCTGTTTTCTGCTTCTGCATATTATAGAGCTAGTTGGATAGGTTATGCAGCGATAATTGTGTGGGTGTGTTGGTATGCGTGTAATAAAAAAAATGTGTGTGTGTGCTTGTAATATTTGAGAGAAAAACCCAACTGCAAATCTAAAATCCAACCGTGTCCCAGTGGAGTTTTGCTGCCTCTAATGGGGAAAATGTGGTACTGCCCCTAAACAAAATCTGGCTGAAACCTCATGTTCCCTTTCGAGGGAACTCGCGATGCGTCATCGACGCTTTGGGAGCGCCCCCAGCGTGAATGCGTCTGAGCATCAATGTCAACTAGTCCAATGGAAAGAATGAGCGTCACGGGCGGGTGACGTCATGACCAGGAAGGGATAAAAGCACATCCGGTGAAAACCGGCATTAGCTTCTGTGTCTCAGCAAGCGATCTGTGTTACTCTGTCTCTGTCTATTTATTGTTGTCTGTTGCATTTATATTGGAAGAGTTATGGTGAAACAAATGTACAAGCAGTGTGCTTCTCCCTGCCCGCGTTATTTAACGGGTGGACACACACACGAGCTTTGTGTTATTTGTTTGGGAGTGGAGCATGCGGTCTCAGCCTTCGAGCCTTCGTGAGATGCTTCCGCTTCGCATGCTCCGCTCTCGCCTGTCACTCTTTGACGAGAGTGGTCAGGTTCGCGATCCTCAGGGTGCAGGACCCGCTGTTGCCGAAGCAGCACGGAGAATGCATTCCTGGGGATCGCAAAAGGATCTTTCGGAGGGGTTGGAGACGGGTCCGAGGGCCTTTTTTCCTTCCTTACCCGGAGGATCCAGTGCTCCCCCCCGGTGTCGGAAGCCCGCTCTGCGGCTTCTTCCGCCCGGGGAGAGAGCCCTCCATTACTTCATTGTTCTTCCTCTGAGGAGGTTGATATGATGAGTATGGAGAGTTTAAGCACACACACTGGGGAAAGAGATTCGCCACCTGTTTCCCCAGCATATGAGGAGCTGGTGGATGTGATGTCTAGGGCTGTAGAGAAATTAAATATTGAATGGCCAGCTGAGAAAAGTAAATTAGATGAGCGCTTCCTTTCTTCAGCTACATCATCTCCACCACGAGGCCTTCCCTTTTTTCCTGATTTACATAATGAGTTATCTAGATCATGGGATAAACCGTACTCATCACGACTTTTCAGTCCTCAAGTTCATTTATATTCAGGTATAAGAGGGCTGAAAGAGTACGGTTATGAGGAGATGCCCCAGGCTGAACAGACGCTCGCGAGCTATTTATCACCTGGCCCAGCATCGTCTCTGAAGGCCTCAGCTTTGCCTACTAGACCACTTAACCCTTTCGCACGTACGTTTAAAATATTCTAACTGACCCCCCAGCGTGAGTTTTTCAAGGCGACCGTTATTTAGAACCGGTCACTTTAATGTTTCCATGGTGACGCGTCATTTCTTGTCACGTGACACAGCGCAATCACAACACAGAGCTGAATGAGTGATGATCTGCTTATGTCTTTTTTCCTTTTCTATTCAAAATATTCACACATGTATTAGCTATAGCATGAAACACTGATATTCCGATTGTCAAATATGTGCAAGTGGATGTGTTTTGTTGTTTAAACGTCTTTATAACGATCGCGTTAGTTGAGCTGGATGCGCGATGGGCGGCGCCATGTTAGTTTTTTTCACAGTTCAGAGAATCGGATCTGTTGTTTCTCACGAAATACATGAAAGTAAGTGGCCGGTGAACTAGGAGAAGAATAGGGTAAAATGTAAAGCTACTTACACAATGTGTATCTGATATGAATAAAACGTTTTGTCTTATTATAATGGAAATGATTATTGTAGCCGTTTCCATAGACATCAGTGTCTATTTTACTAATTCAAAATCACTGTTTTGCTAGTACTTATGTGTATTTAAATGTCTGAAACCTAAAATAAACATGTGGTTTAAAATACTCAATAGTAACTTGTGATATATGACAGCACTGAGTGCGTCCGTCTCTGGCTCAGCGCCAGCCAACGCGCGAAAGCACGTTTGAATTTAGCAGTTGATCACGTGATGCACTGACCGTTCTAATCACACCGGTGTGATCGTACGCTCCAGGGACCAGCCAAGACTGATCACACCGGTGTGATCGTACGCGTGAAAGGGTTAAAGCAACATCGGGTTTAGTGAGCAAAGCCTATACGGCAGCAGGTCAGGCTGGAGCATGTCTGCACACTATGGCGGTGCTCCAGGCTTACCAGGGTGATTTGCTGGGGGATCTGGATAAAAGTGAGGGAGTTGGTCCTGACGAAGTTCGAGAACTTCGTCGGGCCACCGATCTGTCTCTCAGAGCTACAAAGGAAACCGCTAGAGCAATTGGGCGGTCTATGGCAGCCCTTGTAGCTACTGAGAGACACCTTTGGTTAAATCTGGCCAAAATAAGAGAAAAAGATCGGGCTTTTTTATTGGATGCTCCGCTTGAGCCTTCTGGTCTCTTCGGCGACGCAGTTAATGCGGTCGTCGAGAGATTTCAAGAGTCAAAGAAGCAAGCGGAGGCATTTAAGAAGTTTCTCCCTCGCCGTGTCCAGCCCCCTGGGGCTGCTGGGCGTGAGCAGCCCCAGCCGTCGAGCTCCTCATATCGTGCGCAACAAAAAGAGAGTGTTTCGTCTCGTGCACCTCCACATAAACACTGGAAACAGGCGCAACACTCTCAGTCGAAGTCTTCTAAGTCGAAGCCGGATCTGAGGACCGTTCTTCAGGCGAAGAAGACTTCGGCTCATAAAAAGAGGTCCTGACGTCAATGACGTCAGACCTGTGAGGACGGCCCCGACCGAAGTGGAGCGGTGTACACCTCAGAATACGGTTTCCCGTTCCACTTCGGGGTCCTCACGGGACCGTTCTGCCAACCCCGTCACCCTTGGTGCTTCGGGGCGCAGCGGTCTCCAGCGAGTCGCTGATGCTATGCTGCGGCACTGCATCGGTTTCGCGCCCTCTGAGGGGGGTTTTAGAGCAGCCAGTTCAGGTAGTTCCTGCCATTATGTTTAACACCAGAGACCAGCCTCGAGAGGCTGGTTCCCTTAGTAGATTTTCTGGCAGCGTGGAAGCTACTGCCAAATATTTCTCGTTGGGTCCTGCAAATTGTAGAGAAAGGATAAGGAATCCAGTTCGGTTCTCGTCCTCCTCGCTACAACGGGGTGTTGCTCACAGTAGTGCATCCCGAGCAGGCTCTGGTAATGGAGCAAGAGGTAAAGGCCCTGTTAGCAAAGGAAGCTATAGAACAGGTGTACTCACCCGACAGAGAGTCGGGTTTTTACAGCCGTTATTTCATTGGTTCCGAAAAAGGATGGAGGGTTGCGTCCCATTTTAGATCTTCGTCTGTTGAATCGTTCAGTACAGAAACTCAAGTTCAAGATGCTGACACTCAAACAGATCGTGACTCAAATCAGATCCGAGGACTGGTTTGTCACGATAGATCTGAAGGACGCTTACTTCCATGTCTCCATCCTCCCTCAGCACAGGAAGTTCCTAAGGTTTTCTTTCGGGGGCAAAGAATACCAGTATCGGGTACTTCCTTTCGGTCTAGCTCTATCACCCCGCACGTTCACGAAATGCGTAGATGCAGCTTTAGCCCCGCTCAGGCTTCAGGGCATACGTATTCTGAACTACATCGACGACTGGCTGATTCTAGCGGAATCAGAGCAGTTGGCGGTTCGGCACCGAGGTGTCGTTCTCGCTCATATGCAGATGTTGGGGTTGAGGCTCAATGCCAAGAAGAGTGTTCTTTTTCCAGTACAGAGAACCACTTTCCTTGGTGTGGTATGGGATTCAGTGAAGATGCGGGCCACTCTATCGCCCGTTCGTGTAGCTGTTATCCTGGCAGCCACAGAAGAGCTGAGGCTAGGCCAGTCACGCACTGTAAAACAGTTCGAGAGACTGTTGGGTCTCTTGGCAGCAGCGTCCAACGTGATACCTTTTGGCCTGCTGTACATGAGACCTTTGCAGTGGTGGCTCAGGACCAGAGGGTTCTCCCCGAGGGGAAATCCACTTCGTATAATCAAGATCACGCGGCGGTGCCTTCGTGCCTTGGTTATATGGAGGAAACACTGGTTCTTAACCCAGGGTCCAGTGTTGGGAGCTCTTTGCCATCGAGTTGCGATCTCGACAGATGCTTCCCTCACCGGCTGGGGAGCGGTAATGGAAGGCCGCTCGGTTCAAGGTCGGTGGAGGGGTCATCATCTTTCTTGGCACATAAATTTCCCGGAAGATGA